TTGTAATTGCATATGTAAATTCATCAAGCTCAAGGTTAATTAGACTAGGTTAGTCTAGTTGAAGATGATTAATGTGGAAGACACCAACAGTGGCACGATGCAATCAAGATCTTCAAAGGTAATGCATTGCATACATTCGAGCGCATTAGGTTATGGCTAGTCAACATATATGCTAGCTCATTATTTGGTCACGTATTATCGGCTGTAGGTTTTCTGTCCTGATGAGTTTTTTTGTCTTATTAAGAAGCCAATGAGTGGCTGCCAGCTGGGGGAATTTAGAGCAGACTTGTTTCCCCAGCAGCCGTCACTTCACTTGGCCGATTTTAGGGAAAATTTTGAGAGGTTTTTCTCTGCATTTTTCATATCTTGAGTGAGGTCTGAGACTTCTATGGAGTAAGAGAGAAGGTTTTGAGAGCTCGATTTTTGCTCTGCATTTGGTCTGCAACTTTCACAGAGAGAGGAATTTGAGAGTTTACAAAAAGGGAAAGTTTTCAATGCACATTGTCAATTAAAAATAAAAATCTGATGAAATGCTATATAATAAAGTGGGACCCGTGATTAATCGGTTTAATGCTCAGCAAAACGCCTGACTCGCATCCTAACAGGGAGAATAGCCTTATCTTCTTTCTCTCAGTTTGGCTTCCACTTCCCAGCTGCAGGCATGGCTTCCATATTCCCACAATTCCTCTCAACTCCAAATCCTCACCCACTAAACCATCTCCTCCCAACCCAAACCACCACAAACCCACCTCAGCTTTCCACCCACAGACCATGCAGAAAACACTTGTCCCTCACCACATGCACTCCTCCAAACTCTACTCAACCAGATTTTCCAAGTCCAGACTCTGAAACCACCACCAGTGCAGAGACATTTCCGATCGAAAAGCGCAGAAAATCGGAAATCACCCGGGACAGGAGGAGGTCAGAAACTGGCCTTGTAAAGCCTGAGCCACCCAACTTTGAGATTGGTTGGAAGAGAACCAAAGAGATAAAGCTAGAGAAGCCAATAGGGTATGTGATAGCTGACTTCTTGGAGAAGTTGGAGAGCTTAATGGGAAAAGAATTTGGTTCCGCTGACTTGTTGGTGAAAGTTGCAGAGATTGTGGCCGAGAGAGCAAGAGAGGAAGCAGAGGTGTTGAGAGATGAAGGCAAAGTGGAAGACAGAATGGTGACCGAGTTGTTCAGGGTGTTGAAGTTGATAGAAATGGACATGGTTATGATAAAGGCTGCAGTGAAGGAAGAGACTTTGAATGAGAGGCTTGAGCAGGCCAAGGCACGCTGCAGGCAAGCTATACTTGTTGCTTTGTCTTTTTGAAAAAGCTAATTTAGCAATGTGACAATGGAGGATAGGATATTTTGCTTTTCATGATGGTCTTTCGTTCTA